CGCGGGTAGACCTCTTGGGTGCTGGTTTTTCCTCCCGCTGGTGGTCTTCACCCTTTCCACCATTCACTGCAGCTCGTTGCTTCCTCCGGCCTATTCCTCTTACGAGGTGATCATCCCAAGGCAGTTAGCAGCCCGAGGAGGGAAGGCCAAAAAGGATGAGTTATCTTACCTCATCAAGGCAGCAGGAAGGGATTACATCATCCGGCTCAACCCCGCAAAGCACTTGCTAGCTAAAAACCTCCCCGTCTTCACATATGATTCGAAGGGAGAGCGCATGGAGAGCCATCCCTACATGCCGGTTGAGTGCTACCGTCAAGGCCACGTGGAAGGCGTGGTTGATTCGCTGGCAGTTCTCAGGACCTGCCTCGGTCTCACTGGTTTGTTGAAAATTGGAGCAAGGATTTACGGTATTGAGCCTCTGCTGAATTCCTCTGCCTTTCAACACCTCCTCTATCTCTCCGCAGAATCCCAGCCTATTTTTTCACCATACATGGCAGGGGTAGTAGGGAGAACAAAGCGGCAAGCAAATGATCCGCGGCCCAGACAAACCAGAAGATTGTACAGTTATCTCCAGTCCGAAGTCGTCAACAAATATATTGAACTGTATATTGTGGTCAACAAAAATGTGTTTGACAAAGAAGGCGGTAGTATCAGCCGAGTGCAAACGACAGTGCTGGACGTGGTGAACATCGCGGACGCTACCTTTCGGATCCTGAACACCCACATCATCCTGGTTGGACTCGAGATCTGGACTAAAAAGAACCTAATAGACATGCCTGCAGACCTCACGGAAATTCTTCATAATTTCAACAAGTGGAGACAAACCGGCATGAAAAACGGCACAGCGTACGACACTGCCTTCTTGTTCCTTCACCGGCCTTACAAGAATGCCTTCGGACACTCCTACCAGTCGGGTATTTGCGAGCCAGATTTTGCGGCAGGGCTCCAGGTCTACCGGAAGGAGCTGGCCCTCTTCGCAAGGGGGTTTTCTCACGAGTTGGCCTCCCATATTGGGATGGAGCATGACGACACCTACTGCGTCTGTGGCAAGCACACCAGCTGCCTTATGCGCACGTACTACGCCTCGGTTAACCTGTTCAGTAACTGCAGCATTCTGAATTTCATAGACCTTTCCGAACAGGGCCTCTTGAGATGCTTGCAAAACGTTCCCGAGATACCTTCCAGATTTGAGCATTGTGGGAACGGGGTTTTGGATGTGGGCGAACAATGTGATTGTGGGGAACCACACGCATGCCTGCACGATCCTTGCTGCACTTCTGAGTGTCGTTTGAGGGGAAATGCCATTTGCGGGTCAGGGAAGTGTTGCCGAAAATGTGCGTACATCCCCAAAGGAGAAATCTGCCGGGCTAAAGCCAACGAATGTGATCTCCCCGAATACTGTGATGGAAAATCGGCCGAGTGCCCCAAGGACTATTACTTGCAAGACGGGACACCCTGCAGCAAATATTCTTCTTACTGTTACAAAAAGAGGTGCTGGAATCACGATTCCTTGTGCCGCAGAATCTTTAGGGGAGAGTCCAGATCAGCTGGCGAGAGTTGCTACCTGGGTCTGAACATCCTCGGGACTCCCTACGGCAACTGCGGCATTGATCACACCGGGAAGAAATACGTGAAATGCCATCCCGCGCACAGCATGTGCGGAAAAGTCCAGTGTGTCAATGTGAAAAAGGTGCCCAACCTGCAAGACCTATTGGTCCACGTGAACATCGTGCGAGGGACGAAGTGCTGGACTGTTTCTCACCCTGCCGAAACCAATCACCCACACATCGGGTCTGTCCCCAACGGCATCGTGTGTGACCCGTACAAAGTGTGCATCGATCGCGAATGCCTCCCCAAAACCACACTGAATTTGACCTGCGAGCCGCGGAAAACCTGCCGAGGCAGGGGTGTCTGCAACAACCTTCACAAGTGCCACTGCAACAGCGGATGGGCCCCTCCAAACTGCAAGTATTGGGGTGCAGGAGGGAGCATTGATGGAGGCTGCCCCGTGATTGCCTGGGGAAACTCCTTGGCAAAATACATCCTGGGAACCATGATCCCTTTCTGCATGCTGATCATCGCTGCTGTTCTCGTGATCTTTCCAAAACTGGGGGAACTCCTGGGACCGTTTCTGAGGTGGTGGAAAAACCAGACACCCAGATAAGGATGCCGGTTGAGGCTCCCTATTAGGCCCACAGAAATTCACTCAGAAAATTATCTTCTCTTGCAACCAGCGCGTCTAATGATCATAAAAGTTAGCAGCCCGTTCAAGATTATTCAGACAAAACGCGTGGAAAAGAGCGTTGAGAGCAAAATCCAAATGGCTGTGCTAAAATACCAAATCCAATGCAATACTTTCCTCTATTGGAAAAGGGGGAAGGAAAAGGGGTGGGGTGGGGTGAGGGCAGGTAATAAAACCACTTACAAATCAAACTTGTGAAGGTTCCTGCTCAACAACGCCTCTTTCTTAAACTTCTCAGAGTGTCCGGAAGTGCACAACAGTGGGAATTTATTCTGTATGACTCCAGGGATCCACAAAAGATCATTTGCTTCTTGGCTAGGAAAGATCAGAACGCTACGAGATCTTGAACCAGCCTCTCCCGGGCGCTGAGGTAACTTTAGGAGCAATCCCACATAGGACCCCATAGAGCAGTGTTTCTCAACCTTGTCAACTTGAAGATGTCCGGACTTCAACTCCCAGAATTCGCTGGCTGGGGAACTCTGGGAGTTGAAGTCCGGACAT